TGCATGGCAGAGTCAGCCCCTTTGCCTGTTATGGGGGAACACCCTAGCCTTGAAGGTGGTTCAGCTATGATAGGAGTCATGGGCAGCTTGAATATGTTTGAAATGTCTGATTTAAAGGGACTGGCTGTAAACTTGCCTTCTAAGTCAGGTGGGGAACCTCTGGTGCAGCAGGGACAAAGGCTGCCCCGGACTTTCCCAAGACCTGCTGCTGCTCCAGTGGAGACTGGTGCTCCCTGGGACTGGTGGGGCAGAAAGCAGGGAGCCCAAGAGTCGGTGAAGCCAGAGCCAATAGCACATAGAATTAACTGACTGATTCTAGTCCCCCCCATCTTCTTCCCTTCTACAATGGCAATGCCAAGACTAGTGAGAAGGGAGCTGACAGACCGTGCCACTCCCTGGATGGTAGGTGCTGGCTGAAGGCTGGTAGGGCAAGTGTCCCACTCAGAGCTGTCTTTCCCATAGGGCTTAGTGGTTCGTTGCGCCAGGGCGCCGCCTCTCAGGGGCGCCCCAGCAAGTGGGGGAGCTGTGTGGCCTTGCCAGCAGCCTCCCCTTTCCCTGCACACCTGCCAGCTGCGTCCCACCAACTATATGGCTGGCGGGCATGCAGCATTCTTCCCAAGCCTCCGCGGGAGGAGAGCGATCCCTGCAGAGACTGAGGATGGCCTCTGCATCTGCTAAAGGCGTCTCTGCTCCCGGTCGTTGTCCTCCTCCTTTTTCCTGGCAAAAGGGGGCACAGCCTTCCTGCTTGATCACCGCCACCACGCTGGGGATCAGGGTGGTGGGAGAGGCAGAGGACATTTTCCACTGCCCCCTCCCTTGTTTTGGAGTTGCCGGGGGGGGGGGCGCCAGAGGGATCTTTGCACCATGGTGCTGGATATGCTTAAAATGGCCCTGGTCCCAATTCCTCTAATGGACCAGGCTTCGCTGCCCCTGTGTTATCGAGCGCTTTCGCCTGGTTGGAACATGTCCTTGACCTGTGATGATGCCTCATTTGCCGGGGTGGAGAAAGGGGAGATTGGGTGTGTGTGACTATGTATGTGAAACCTCTGGCTTTTGCATGGATGGAATGTAGCCCACTGTACAAAGGGGAGGCTCACATCCATTGTTCTGGTCACTTTTTGCCTCTGGCTCCCCACCATTGGCACGCAGCCCCCACAAGGGAGTGTGGTCCTCAGGGTGAAAAAGGCCCTCCCTCCACCCTTGTTAAGCATTGCCCCCCCGCCATATCATTGCTGTTTTTTTCATGATCTCTCCAAAGGGATTCTCAGGAAAAAACGCTTAACAGAAATAATAAAGACTTGAACCAAAAGCAGAAGCTCCTTTTTTTTACTTCTGTCTGATAAAGAACGTGAATGAGTTGGTCCATACAGAAGACAGTGGCTCTTTTTTGCTCAGTCTCAGAGCATGGATCTCATTAACCCTTGACGATGGAGGGGGCAGGAATTTCCTATGGCTTCGTGTCCCATGGGCACCATTGACAAAACAACCACCAGTCTCTTAAGAGAAGCTCTCGAGGTCTCCCTCCTGCTTTTAGGAGATGGAGCAACAAATTGGAATCTGATGGGGATCCAACTCCAGCAGCAGCCAACTCCGCAATGAATAAAGAGGGAGACTCAGTTGGCCTCGATGTCGCTGAGCAGCTGCCTTGTGTATAAAGGAGGCCTAGTGTGTTGTGTTCTAAGGAGATTGTATTTTTAAATAAATAGACAAACGGGAGATGCACAGAAAGGACAAATGTCTTCAGTAAACAAAAATTGCTCAAAAGAGGAAGAAATGTTCATTCTGTAGCCATTTTCAGTATTTGCTGAAAGCAGACAAGTGCATCTTTGGATCCATTCATTCATTCATTCATTCATTCATTTATTTGGTGGTTCATAATTTTTCTCATGTACTTGAAGGTACTTCCTCTTCCTCCCATTCAAAGGCTCTTGCTCAGGTGAGCCAGCTGAGATGTGCTTGTCTCAGGCTCATTTCCCCCTTTCCTTCCTGTCCTAAATGCTGCATATCTTCACGGTCGTCCATCGCCAGGAGGCGGGGAGATTTCTTGACTGAGTGGTTCTGTCTAAGGGATTTTGTGCGGATGGCCAGCAGCCAGCTGGAACGTCACATCTTAGGACCCGTAAAGTAGGTGGGCTGGATACAAAAGCAATGTCATCATTGGTTGGGCTGCAGCATCAAATGGTAGCTTGCACGTGCAAATACCCATCGCTGGCTAATTGCTATCCATGAAACGTTCCTATTGCTCAGGGTCAGCTCAAGGACAATGGTTTTCCATGGAGAAAACAGTCTGTTTCAGAAGTGTGCCCGCTGGATGTTCGCTGAACACATGGAAGAAGAAATACTGTGTTTACCTCTTTCACGTGTGCATGCCAAACATTTGCCGAACTTGCGGAGGCTGGTTGTGTGCACTGCAGAGAACATGCGGTGGGTGGGTGGGGGACTTCTGAAAATGCCTAAGCAACTTGCATGTCTTGCTGAAAGTTACCAAGGGATGAGCCATTAATCGATGAGTATTCAAATGACAAAAATGCACATACTATCAGTTATGTACTGGAACATGTGCAGTTCCTGATGGAAGGCCTTGCTGAACTTTTAAGCTTAAATACACACACACACACCACTCCATTCACAAGTTCTCCGGCCCTTTGCAGGCATCTCTTTGGCAACGCCCCCTGGCACCTGCAGCTGCAGACGTGCAACTAATGTAAGGATTTGTGGGCACCAATTTTTTGCTGGTGCTCAAAGGGAACTGAAAGAACACAAACCTCTTGGAATCCCTGGTTGGAATTCTCCAGCTTGAGAAAGAAGCAAAGTAGGGGAGAACTTGCTCTACTCAGAATCATCAGAGAGATTCCTGCTGTCTGCAGCTTCTGCCAGCTGTTTTGGAGGCTGCATCTCTCCCCCCGAAACTTCCCCCTGTTTCTAGGTGGCGCCTGCCCACCTCTGCCCTCATTCTGGGAGGGGAGACCTTCTATCCCATGGGTAGGCAAACTAAGGCCCGGGGGCCGGATCTGGCCCAATCACCTTCTCAATCTGGCCCGTGGATGCTCAGGGAATCAGCGTGTTTTTACATGAGTAGAATGTGTCCTTTTATTTAAAATGCATCTCTGGGTTATTTGGGGGCAAAGGAATTCATTCACCCCCCCATATAGTCCAGCCCCCCACAAGGTCTGAGGAACAGTGGACCGGCCCCCTGCTGTAAAAGTTTGCTGACTCCTGTTCCATCCCATTTCAGAAGCATCATCTTAAAAGAATTGAAATAAAAAGATGGGTTAGGAAAGGATTGCATGCTGACCTTTTCCCACTTGCATGTCGAGGCCCCTTAACCATCCTGTTCCCTAAGCATAGCTGTCAACTTTTCCCTTTTCTTGCGAGGAATCCTATTCAGAATAAGGGAATTTCCCTTAAAAAAAGGGAAACGTTGACAGCTATGTCCCTAAGGCGCATATAACTAGACAGCACGCAACATATTGGTTTGGGATCAAATAAGGCCATAACTTTATGTGAAGGTTTGACCATAGGCATTGAGGTAAGGAACTATGTACGTCACTCCCCATATGAACCAACCAGGATCCTGCGACCATCATTCTTCATGTGTTTCCTCCACGAGAACAGGCCTTTTCTGTGGTGGTTCCCCTTTGTGGAATGCTCTCCCAACGGAGGTTTTTCTGGCATCTTCATTATACATCTTTAGGCAGCAGGCAAAAACATTCCTCTTTAACCAGACCTTTGACTGACTATGTCCTTCTAAATGTGTTAGGGGTGGTGGAATTGGCTTGCTTTGTTTATTTTTTACATTGGTACCTTGGTTCTCAAATGTAATCCATTCCAGGAGTCCATTCGACTCCCGAAACCATTCAAAAACCAAGGCACGGCTTCCAGTTGGCTGCAGGAGCTTCCAAACGTTGGATGTTTGGCTTCCAAAAAATGTTCACAAACCAGAACATTTACTTCCGGGTTTGCAGCGTTTGGGAGCCAATTTGTTCGGGAACCAAGCTGTTTAAGTACCAAGGTACCACTGTATTATGTATTTTGTGTTCCCACTTTGTAGTTTTATGTTGTGAACTGCCTTGTAATCTTTGGATGAAGGGTGGGATACAAATTTAATAAATAATAATACTAATAATAGTGTTCAGTGAGGTTTATTTCCTTCCCAGCCCCCATCTGAGGGTAAGCACGCATGGGACGGCAACCTTAGGACTAAGCTAGAGATGGCATCAGTGATGCAGCCAGCATTTGCCTGAATGGGCTGTCTAAAATACATCACAGACATGGGGAGGGGGACAGGCAGAATCCAGATTGGGAACATTGTGCAGAGCGGGTGGCTCAGACCCAGCGGCGTAGCGTGGGTTGTCAGCACCCGGGGCAAGGCAAGTAATTTGCGCCCCCTAACCCGTGGATTTGCGCCCCCTAACCTGTGGATTTGCGCCCCCTAACCCATGGATTTGCCCTAACCCCAGATGTTGCGCCCGGAGCGGCCGGCCCCCCCTGCACCCCCCACGCTACGCCACTGCTCAGACCCCAACCCCAGCCTGCTGTTTAGACCGGGGGGGGGGGGGAATCTCCCAGTGACTCCAATGAACAATTTGCTTCAGCAAACCCAGGGGTCAGCCCACTGTCCCTCAGACCTTTGGGGGGGGGCAGACTACATTTTGGGAAAAATAATAAACGAATTCCTATGCCCCACAAATAACCCAGAGATACATTTTAAATAAAAGCACACATTCTACTCATGTAAAAACACACTAAAAACATGCTGATTCCTGGACCGTCCGGGGGCTGGATTTAGAAGGCGATTGGGCCAGATCCGGCCCCAGGGCCTTAGCTTGCCTACCCATGAGCAAGCATGTCTGGCTCCTTTGTGTCCATCTGAATTTTTTTTGAGTATATCATAAAATATTTTCCGTTGAGAGGAATGCTTTTAGCCATCCTTCATTTAAAAACGAAAGAAAACAAATCTTACTTTACCAAAGACAATGACATTTTATTTTTCTTTACAGATTTCTTTTGGATTGTTGAAAGAAATGAGAAGGGCAAGAAAAAATTCCGGAGAAATGATTGGAACAATATCTCTCAAAACCCAACATCTTCGTGTGATGTTCTGCTTGGGAATAATACTCTTGCCAATGTCTGTAACATCTAAACAAAATGTCCCAAGACTTAAACTCTCCTATAAAGGTAAACATTTTAAGTGACTTTTCAGTGTTATTATTCCTGCTTTGTTGTAGCATTGCCAACAAATATTTTCAGTTATTCAGGTCCCCCCCGAAAAGTAACTCAGTTGTTGTCATTCTTTTGGAAAATGGTAAATAGCAACATAAGATATTTTAAACAATCTAGACCAAAACAAAACTTTGAGTAATAATGTTTGTATGTTTGTGAGGGTGGTGGTTGAGTGGAAAAGTCTGGCAAAGAAATGAAGACATTCAGATTAGTTTTATGACTCTCTAGCTGATAAAAAATGATTAAAAACAATAAGTTGTTTACGTGGTAAATAAGAGTGCGTTGCATTCTTTAATGTGAAAAACATGGCAAGAAAAATCAGAAGAGAATAAGTCAGTCTCTTCTGATTGGTAAGAAAAGGTCCCAAATTCTTCACTGAATAAATGCCTTTAAAATTTGGTAATATATCGAGAATCCTCTATGGCACTGGTATAACCCAATTGTTTAGTTTAGCTTCTTTTTGCCACTATTTTTAAGAAGGAAAAGTCTGGCTGGAAAATATATTTCAAAACTCCATCCTGCTTTTTGTTTTGTTTTATTTTCTGACATTTGCACCCTGACTTTCTTCCATGTTGACACCCATGGCAGCAAACATATGGTTCCCAAGTAGTCTCCCATCCAAAGTGCTGATCAGACCTAGATCTGCTTTAACCAAGAAGGTAGACTCCCTCCGTGTGTATACCATACCCTGGAATTCTTGCTCTTGTGGCTGCGCCTGGTCTGGGATGCTGTCCTAATATTATTTCCGGAATTACATAATTCAAAAACAAATTATTGTACCAGTTTTTAAACTGGAAAATTTCAGAATCCAAATCTGACTTTGGAATTTTTAACATTTAACTTTTTCCTTTCGGAATCCAATTTTTGAAGCACACCTAATAAAACAACAACCCTCCCACAAATTTTGCTGATTTCTTTTTTTAAGGAAACAAGTTTTAACCTGTGAACTATTTTATCATAATGACACTTCCCTAAAATTACTAAACTCACCGGTGTCATAACTCTTAGTGTTGGATGGTGGAGAAAGGAATCAAAAAAGAGAAGTCTCAGTCTCAATCCTTTGGGCTTGATGCAATGCAGCATCACAACGACTACATGAACTTGGCAGTTGTTGGCCCTGGTTGCCCTCATTGCCATAATTTGCCAGAAATGCTAAGAAGGAACCTCTGTGCAAGAAATGGAAAGCCGTAGAGCCTAGGACTTGCCGATCAGAAGGTCGGCGGTTCGAATCCCCGTGACGGAGTGAGCTCCCTTTGTTCGGTCCCTGCTCCTGCCAACCTAGCAGTTTGAAAGCATGTCAAGTGCAAGTAGATAAATAGGTACCACTCCGGCAGGAAGGTAAATAGTGTTTCTGTGCTCTGGTTTGCCAGAAGCGGCTTAGTCATGCTGGCCACATGCTGGCCACATGAAGCTGTATGCCGGCTCCCTCGGCCAATAAAGCGAGATGATGGCCGCAACCCCAGAGTCAGTCACGACTGGACCTAATGGTCAGGGGTCCCTTTACCTTTACCTAATTGCACATTTTAATTGCACCTAGAAATGGACATGCAATTTGTTTGAATGTGTACATGGCAATACAGTGAGATGCAGCCTCGACCCTATCCTTAGGCAGAGTTAGCCTTCTGCTTCCTGCAGCTGATCTTGGAAAGCTGCTGTCAGGGAACTGACATCGGAGCAGAGGGGAGAGGCGGTACTTCCCGATTCTGCAGGAGAAGGAACGAGTAAGGGTAGAGAGAGAACGTCATCTGGGGAAGAATGTCCAGGTGACACCAGGAAGAAGGAAGAGGGGGAAAGCATCTTGGAGGAGAGGCTCCGAGACTCTGGCACTGAAGGCAGTGAAGAGAGTGGAGGGCCACCCCTGGGCACGCCCACTCTGCGCAGAAGGGTTTCGCGCAGAGAGGGGAGGCGGAGATTATCTGTCAAGGAGCTTCTATGCTGGAGGAAATTTAGAAAACGCCCACTCACGGATTCGTCGAGCGACTGAGCAGCAGCAGCACCCAAGCTGCTCAGTCAGGGAAGACACACCCCAATCCTAAGCAGTTTGGAACCGCTAGAAGGTTACACACAAGCAACCCCAATTCCCGTGACAGCTGCAGTGAGATGTTGACGGGCAAAATTGTGCCCTGACCTCAGGTGCAGGGAAGGATGGTCTAGTCACCTTCTGCACATGGAATGGGCAGGGTGCCGGTGGCAGCTGTACCAGGTTAGCCTTTTGTCTCAAGCAGCAAAATGTCCTGGGGAAATCGCTGCGGAGCAGTGTTGGCCCTGATATTTTGCCTAAAACGAAAACAGAAACAAATTTGAGGGTTTCCACTCAGGGACAAACATCTGAGGTATTCTGAAGGAAGCCCCCAAATGGTTTGATTGAGGCCAATGCAGGTTCCCAAACACTAGGAAACAATTGCAAGGCAGGAGGGGAAGGAGAAAAGCTGAGCATAGCTGGATAATAAATAGTTTTCATCACGTTATGTTTTCTTTTATACCACTTTTAGACACTAAATATGGAAGATGCGTTTTGAGTGCCTCTTACACTCTTTTTCTTGTAATTACCCAGCCCATTGTCTCCTACAGGCCAGCCTCCACACTGACATCAGTTGTTTACACAGCAGCCAAACTAAGAATAACCTTGGAGAACAGACCCATATCCACTTTGTAAACAGTTATGAACTTGTGTATTTGAAAAGGGTCTTTGGGAGGAAAGAAGGGGGACATTTTTTTCTACACAAGATACTATCCAGTAATTCTTCAAGCTGACCTGGCTTAATCCCAGAAGCAGAGATAGGACATGGGGGGGGGGGGATGGAGGCAGGCAGTTGAAAAAGGATGAGGCTGCGAACAACTGTGGATGTGGTCACCCCTGTGGGGCTTGCTCCTTTCCAAAGGCCTAACCGGAGACTCTCAGCTGCCGCTGACCTGCACCTCCCCAGTGATGTCTATAAAATGAAAATTCTGACATGATACCATGAGATTCAGCATTTCACTGCCTTTTAGAGCTGAAGAACTGAAGCAGCAATGCTAAACACAAGAGGTTCTTCAGCAGGGTCAGTGGCAGCCTCACATCCCCAGTGATGTACACTTGTGCTGTAAATGGAGAACAGCAGTGCAACTGAGGCGACATTTTGACATGGGATAAGCAGCAGCTCTTGGGCAATTTCTGTAGTCCTGTTTGGGCATTCGGGTCAGATAGGGGAGAGAGGTTTAGCAGAGGTCTGCTCTGATGGATTACATAAAGACACATCTGAATCATTTGAAGCGTGGGCCAAATCCTTAAGAAAAGTGCAGGAATTGACACTGGAAGCAAACCTGTGGAAGACCCCAGCGATGAGGCAGGAAGGGCACCAGCAATACCACCTCCTTCTGTGTAATGTGTGGGCCAGCTCTGCTCCAGAATTCTACCATTTGACCTCTGCTGTCTCCTTCCTCCATGCTTGCCTTTCTTTTGTCCTGCATTTTTGAACCCAGCTCTGTCATTGACTGGCTGCACCTTTCCCAACCTGGATGCTTTCTGCTGGTTGCTTATTACTATTAAAATACTCCTTATTTGCTGTGCTGCAGGCAAATACCAACACCTGCCTAGGACTGATCTTCCCATTACCCCAACTTTAAGTTAGTTTATTACAGCTAACTTGCAAGATTCTTGAGTGCACAGTTGCTGAATCATGCAGGAAAATGACTACTTTATGGCATGCATGCATGGTAAAAAATTGTTGCCTCCTTTAGGAAGGTGGACAGAATCTTTTGTTTACGCAAGGTGCCACTGCCCATCAGGCAGAATAACATGGCTACTTGCCCTGTGGGTAACCAGAAAGAACTCGGGAATATTCCCACTTGGCATCATTAAACTGATTTGCCTTTGGCAGAAAGGATTTCCTTTTTCTTGCTTGCAAACAGTACAGCTTCCCTTCTAAATAACTTTTCAGCGAAATGTCCGGCATGTTTTCCTAGAACTCCCCATAGTGCTGATTGCTTTGGCAATGACACACACACACACACACACATTTAAACAGCGGTGGTAAATTTTAAAACCCAAAGGCTTAGGAGAGAACACAAATCCTCAGCTATCAGCTAAATGTCTTCCTATTGCAACAAAATCATTTTCCAGATCCTGATTAGTTGTTGTTGTTTAGTCGTTTAGTCGTGTCCAACTTTCCGTGACCCCCTGGACCAGAGCATGCCAGGCACTCCTGTCTTCCAATGCCTCCCGCAGTTTGGTCAAACTCATGTTGGTAGCTTCGAGAAAACTGTCCAACCATCTCGTCCTCTGTCGTCCCCTTCTCCTTGTGCCCTCCATCTTTCCCAACATCAGGGTCTTTTCCAGGGAGTCTTCTCTTCTCATGAGGTGGCCAAAGTATTGGAGCCTCAGCTTCAGGATCTGTCCTTCCAGTGAGAACTCAGGGCTGATTTCCTTCAGAATGGAGAGGTTTGATCTTCTTGCAGTCCGTGGGACTCTCAAGAGTCTCCTCCAGCACCATAATTCAAAAGCATCAGTTCTTCGGCGATCAACCTTCTTGATGTTCCAGCTCTCACTTCCATACATCACTACTGGGAAAACCATAGTTTTTACTATACGGACCTTTGTCAGCAAGGTGATGTCTCTGCTTTTTAAGATGCTATATAGGTTTGTCGTTGCTTTTCTCCCAAGAAGCAGGTACTGATTGGTAGAAATACCCTATTAGGAGGATATCTATTGTTGGGTTAAACATTTTGCACTCTTGTAAGCAATTCTAGGCATCTTGCCTGAGAAGTGGACAGTCTATTTAACTGCAGAGCCAATGACTAAATGTGCCCAGAGTCAGGCTTCTTCAGCAGCATGTAACTAAGAAAGTAGCAATGCATCATGTGACAATGGGAGTGTTACAACTCAAGGGTACAAGATCGCCCCTCATTTCATCCGTGATATGTGGGAAGGTATGTTGCTGTGTTTGTTATAATCAAGGCTGAGAAGGGGAAAAGAA